TGGTGGGATCTCAGCTCACTGCAAGCTCCGCCTCCTGGGTTTACGCCATTCTCCTGCCTCAGCCTCCCGAGTAGCTGGGACTACAGGCGCCCGCCACCTCGCCCGGCTAGTTTTTTGTATTTTTAGTAGAGACGGGGTTTCACCATGTTAGCCAGGATGGTCTCGATCTCCTGACCTTGTGATCCTCCCGTCTCGGCCTCCCAAAGTGCTGGGATTACAGGCTTGAGCCACCGCGCCCGGCCAGAATGATTCTTAAACTATCGCTATCTGCCTTCAAGTAATATTTTCCCTCCTACATATGCTGTACTTCTATGTGTATTCTCCTAGCCTTTGCACTACTGTTGGCATACATCTTACTTCTGTATTGAATATAAGCCCATGATATGTCAGGGGTTTTTGTTGTGTTTCGTTTTTTTGCTTTAAACAATTAACTGTTGTTTAAGGTGATTTTTTAAAGTAACAAAAAATTGTTTATATTTACACACATATTTACTATTACCAGTGCTCTTCATTCATTTGTACGGATACAATCTATATCCGGCATCATTTTCCTTTTGTTGAAGGGCTTTTTAAAACTATTTTTTGTAGCCAGGCATGGTGGCTCACACCAGTAATCCCAGCAGTTTGGGAGGTCAAGGTGGGCGGATCACCTGAGGTCAGGAGTTTGAGACCATCTGGCCAACATGGTGAAACCCCGTGTCTACTAAAAATACAAAAATTAGCTGGGTGCCCGTAATCCCCGCTAGTCAGGAGGCTGAGGCAGGAAGATTGCTTGAACCCAGGAGGCAGAGGTTGCAGTGAGCCGAGATCGCTCCACTGCACTCCAGCCCAGGCGACAGTGCAAGACTCCATCTCAAAAACAAAAAACAAAAACCCAACACTATTTTCTGTGATTCAATTCTACTGGGGATGTGTTCTTTTAGCTTTTTATGTCTGAAAAAAAGCCTTCATTTTGTAAAGATAGTTTTGCAGAGTATATAATTATATACTGACAGTTTTTTCTCAGTACTTTAAAGATGCTGTTGAAATCTGGTTTGCGTTGTGCCTGACAAGAAGTTGGCTGTCATTCTTCTGTATTTTTCTACAAATAAAATCTTCCTTGCCCTATTCCCAGCTGTTTTCAAATTTTTTAAAAAATCTGGCCAACATGGTAAAACCCCATCTCTACTAAAAATACAAAAATTAGCTGGGCGTGATAGCATGTGCCTGTAGTCCCAGCTACTCGGGAGGCTGAGGCAGGAGAATTGCTTGAATCCAGGAGGTGGAGGTTGCAGTGAGCCAAGATCGCACCATTGCACTCCAGCCTGGCGACAGAGCAAGACTGTCTCTCTCTCTCTCTCTCTCTCTCTGTCTCTCTCTCTCTCTCTCTCTCTCTCTCTCTCTCTCTCTCTCTCTCTCTCTCCCCCCCATATATATATATATAGTTTTTAATCATTTTTGTATGATCAACCTTTATGTAGTTTTCTTAATTTTTCTTTTGTTAAAGTACATTGTGCCTTATGGCTCTGCAAGTTTGTAGTTGGAAAATTTGAGCCATTATTTCTTTAAATATTTTTTCTGTTCCCTCTTCTCACCATCGAGTGTTTTAATTCCATGTGTTTTAGGCCACGTTAGGTTGTCTCATAACCCATAACTCACTGATTTTCTGGGCTTTTTTTTCTTTAACTCTTTTCTTCCTGTGTTTCATTTCAAAGACTTTCTATCACTATATCTTAAAATTCACTAATATTTTGGTTCTGCGGTATCTGATATAACATTAATCCCCTTGAGTGTATTTTTCATCTCAGACATTGTAGTTTATGTCTGTAGAAGTTTGATCTGCGTCTTTTTTCTATTTTTCGTATCTCTCCTAAATGTACTCATGTTTTTCTCTACCTTCTTGGACAATAAAATATAGGTATAATAACTTTTAAAATAACTTTATCTACTAATTCTATCGTCTGATCATTTCTAATACTGCCTCTATTTATTTTTTTAAGTTTTATTTTTTTAATTAATTAATTAATTTATTTATTTATTGAGATAGAGTCTCACTCTGTCACCCAGGCTGGAGTGCAGTGACGTGATCTTGGCTCACTGCAACCTCTGCTTCCTGGGTTCAAGCAATTCTTGGCTTTCCAAGTAGCTGAGATTATAGGCACGTGCCACCATACCTGGCCAATTTTTTTAGTATTTTTAGTAGAGATGGGGTTTTACCATGTTGGCCAGGCTGGTCTTGAACTCCTGACCTCAGGTGATCCCCCAACAGCCTCCCAAAGTGCTGGGATTACAGGTGTGAGCCACTGCACCCAATCTTTTATAAGCATATAGACCGTTGCTTTCTGCTTCTTTGCATGCCTAGTAATTCTTCATTGAATGCCAGACATTGTCAATTGTACCTCATTTGGTTTTGAGTATTCTGGAGACACTTGTGTGTACACTTAAATTCTGAGCTTTGTTCTGGAACACAGTTAAGTTACTTAGAAGTGGTTTGACCCTTTGGAGTCTTGCTTTTAATCGTTGTAGGGCGGGACCAACGCAGCCTTTAGTCGAGGACTAATATGGCTCCACTATTGAAACAATACCTTCTGAGTAGTCTATCTGACGGCTTGTATATTACAAGAGTTTTCCACTCTGCCAATTATTCTCAGCACTGCTTGATCTTTAGAGATTGTTCTGCCCATTTCAATCTGCTCTGATTTCCCTCCCATTTCAAGTAGTTTTATCACACCTGTGTGCTAATCAGTGCCTCAGCTGAAGGCCCAAGTGGGGCTTTCTCAAGTGGGAAGATCTCTGGAGCTTTTTCTCTGTGCAGCTCTCTCCTCTTTGGCACTCTGCTGGGCAAATCTAATCCCTGTGGCCTCCCTGAGCTTCTAACTTCATCTTCTCAGCTCGTGGAGACCACCAGCCTTCTCCTGCATCCCCTTTCTCTGACTTGAAGTCCAGAAACTCTTTCCAGGAGTAATCTGAAGTAACTATAGAGCCCATCTCACTTGTTTCCCACCTGAGGGATCCGTGTCCTGCACTGTCTGTTGTTCAATGTCTGAAAACCATTGTCTCATATATTCCTTTCAAGTTTAAAATTGCTTAAAATGGGAGGCTAAATCCAATCCCTGTTACTCCAAGTTGATTGAAAGCGGAAATACTCAAAACATTAATAACATTCTAATTTTTAATGGATTTCCTTATCTGCCTGCAAACCCACATTACATCATGTCTCCAAAAGGGCAAAGACCTTGCTTATACTATTGTCTATGGTAATCACCAGCATTCAGCATAATACCTGGCACACAGTAAATGCTGAACAAATACCTTCTGAATTAATGTTGTAAAGTATTTGTGCCAGAGAGCTTTACAGTTTGCAGAGACCTGTAGACCAAAAACTAGAAGGTGAATATGAAACTAGTCTCCTTTTTTCTTTTACAACCCTCTTTACCTATGCTTCCATTTGTATTTTTAACTTTTTATTTTGAAACAATTATAGATTCATAGGAGGTTTCAAACATATATATATACAAGAACCCTTAGTTTCAGCATTCCTGAATGGTAACATCTTGCCTAACTTGAGTATACCATTGAAACCAAGAAATTGACATTGGTACAATCCAGAGAGCTTATTCAGACTTCACCATTTATACATGCACTCATCCGTATGTGTATAGTTCTATGCAATTTTATGAGAAGTGTAGCCTTGCATAACCATGACAATCAGATCCTCAGCTGAATCATTGCATAAGATGCACTTATGTTACCCCTTTATACACACATTTCCTCCCACCCATCCCTAACCCCTGGCAACCACAAATCTGTTCCATGTGTCTATAATTATGCTATTTCATGAATGCTACATAAGTGAAATCATGCAGTTTGTCCTTCTGAGATTGGTTTTTTTTTTTTCACTCAGCATAATTTTTTTGAGGTTTATCCAAATGGTCGCATGTATTGATCTTTCCTTCCTTTTCATTGCTGAGTAGTCTTCCGTGATATGAGTCTATGCAGTGTGTTTAACCATTCATCCACTAAAGGACAAATGTGTAATTTCCAGTTTGGGGCTATTATGAATAAAGCTACTTTGAACATACATGTACTATGGGAAATAAGTCTTCATTTCTCTGGGATGATTACCCAAGGATGAAATTGCTGGGACATATGGTAAGTCAGTTTTAAGTTTTGACAGGAACTGCCAAACAATTTTCCAGAGTGGCTGAAACCTTTTGTATTTCCACCACCAATTTATGAGTGATCTAGTTTCTCCACATCCTCACTAGCATTTGGTGTTATCACTATTCTTCCTTTCTTTTTTTTTTTTCTTTCTTTTTTTTTTTTTTTTTTGCCATTGTGATAAGTACGTAGTGCTATATCATTGTAGTGCTAGTTTGCATTTCTCTAATGGCTAATGAGTGTTGACCATCCTTTTGTGTGTTTATTTGCTATCTATATAGCCTCTTGGTGAAATTTCTATGCATGCCTTTTGCTCATTTTCTAATTGGATAGGTTTTTTTTTTAATGTTGAGTTTTTTTGAGATTTTTATATAGTCTAGATACAAGGCCTTTGCCAGATATGTGCTAAGCAAATATTTTTCGCAGTGTGTAATTTGTCTTTTCATCCATTTAACAGGGTCTTTGGCCAAATTAAAGGTTTTAATTTTGATGAGGTTCAATGATCAATTTTCCCTCTTACAGATTATACAATTGATGTTAAGCCTAAGAACTCTTTTCCTAATCTTATGTCCCCAAAATTTTCTGGGTTTTTTTTCTAGAAATTTTATAAACTTACATTTTAATTCTTTTAATTTTCAGCTCCTGTGTCCAGTTAGGCCTCATATCTCTTTAGTATTACCTAGATTACTTAGAGTACTTTTTACTTTTTTGAATTTCATTTACTTCCCATTGCAATATAAGCATTACCCAAGCATCCTTTTATATGGGAAAGGTATTTCATTTTTGAAAGATCAAAATTACCTCCTCTCTTGGGTGATTTTTCTTAATCTGCAGGACTTAGTCTCTTGGTCTGTTTGCAGCTTATTAAAAGACATGCTGACCCTGAAGGGTCAAATTGACAAGCTGGAGGACCGGGGCCTTGACCTTGATCAAGGGACAAACACTGAGGTAAGCTAGAGACTTGGCAAAGACTGAGAGGCTGGGGATTTCTGTCACTTCTTCCCCTACCACCCTTCTATTGTTAATAGGCAATAACAAGAAGTAAGACTCATAAGCAGGAGTGCTCTCTGCTGGTCACCTCTGAGCACCCTTTTCCTGAGTAACACCACTTTTCTCTGATGACACAAAAAGCCTAGACTTTTCTACTTTACCTAGAAACTCGGTTACCAAGAAACTCTATCTTGATGCCACCTTAAGATGAGTGCCTTAATGGAGAATTGATTTTCTTAGTCTTTGTATGTCAGCACCTAACAGCACAGAGAATACATCCAGGAAATAAAGATTTGTCAAGAACTGCATCCTTAGAGTGCAAGGAATCTACCTGTGTTTGTCTTGGATGCTCCATGAAGAATTCTTGTGTTGGTTTTCACAATCTCTGAAGTTTTCCTGATGTTGTGTCTCCTCACATTTCTTAAAGACTCTTCTCAAATAAAGGTTTAATTTTCCATTTTCTTTCTTTTTTTCTTGAGACAGAGTCTCACTCTATTGCCCAGGCTGGATTGCCATGGCACTATCTCAGCTCATTGCAATCTCTGTCTCCCAGATTCAAGCAATTCTCATGCCTCAGCCTCCTGAGTAGCTGGGATTATGGGCATGTGTCACCATGTCCAGCTAATTTTTGTAATTTTAGTAGAGATGGGGTTTCATCATGTTGGCCAGGCTGATCTTGAACTCCTGGTCTCAAGGAATCTGCCTGCCTCAGCCTCCCAAAGTGCTGGGATTACAGGCGTGAGCCACCGCACCCAGCCTAATGTTCTATTTTCTTATTAGTAATGGAATATTAGAGCTGAGAGGTAGAGATCAACCTGTGACACAAGTTAGATTTCAGAGTCCTGTCTGATAGTTTTTCCGCTGTGAAGAAAGGCCCCTGAAAAAGAAAAAAGTCTGTGTCTAACGCCCTCTTTTAACTGAAATTGCCAGCTTCAATTTTAACTCAAGCCCAAGAGTTTAAATTCAATAGATTTTGGAAGCAGTAAAGGAGAAAAGTCTCTTTTATTAAAGGAAGGTATTATTTATTTGGACCTCTTACATATTAAAAGTCACTTACAGATCAGTGCAGATCTATTTCCTGGGAGAAGAATTACTTTTAACTGATAGAGTCCAACATTTTGAGTCACAATCTTATTTTGCTTGAGTTGAAAGAGGTTTCTTTTTACTATCTTTGGGCTTTGGAAATTGCAAACTATAAAAAAGGGAAGAGGGCAAAGGCCAAGAAATATTCTGCTTTAGAGAATTTCCTCCAAAATCCAGCTGTATTACAAAAATGTAGATTTCAGTAGCAGGTGAGGGGAGGGACGGAGGAGTATCAAAAGACTGAGGAGAAAGAGAAACACACACATAAATGAAAATGAGATTTTTTTTAAAGGGAGGAGCTTGGAATAATATGCAAGAGGAAAGCATCGCACACATGTGTGGAAATTCTCTGTGCTGGGGATACACCATTTTGTATACACATTAAAAACAACAAAAAAGCAAGCACAAGCTTTAAAACTAGAAACAATCCAAATATCTGCCAGTTGCCATATGGATAAGCTGCAGTACGTGTACATGATGGATACTACTCAGCAATAAAAATGACCAAACTTCCGATTGACCCAACAACATGAATGAATCACATGCATTATGCTAAGTGAAAGAAGCCAGATTCAGAAGACTGCTTATGTACTTTGTGCTTCTGTTTATGTAACTCTGAAAAAGGCAAAATTGTAGGAACAGAAAATGGATTAGCAGTTAGTTACCCAGGTTTAGTGGAGGAAGGGGGACGGGGATTGACAAAGGGGTATAAGGAAATTTAGGGACTGATGGAAATAGTCTGTATCTTCTTATAGTGGTTATTACACAACAGAATGCATTTATCAAAATTCATAGAACTGTATACTTTAAAAAGTGAGTTTTACTGTATGTAAGTTATATCTCAATAAATATGTCTTTAAAAAAAATGGCACAAGTTCTGTCTCAAGAAGCCTACAGTCTGATGGAAAAGGCTACATAAAAACAAATGTGGTAATATATCTAAAGGTGCAGCTTTAAATATAATTGTTGGCTGAGTGTGGTGACTCACACCTGTAACCCCAGCACTTTGGGAGGCCAAGGGAGGAGGATCACTTGAGGCCTGGAGTTTGAGACCAACCACGGCAACATAGCGAGACCCCTATCTCTACAAAATATTTAAAAATTTAGCCAGTCATGGTGGTTCATGCCTGTAGTCCCAGCTACTCGGGAGGCTGAGGTGGGAGGATCACCTCCTGAACTCAGGAGGTCAAGACTGCAGTGAGCCGTGATCAGTGAGCCACTGCACTCCAGCCTGGGCAGCAAAGTGAGACACTGCCTCAACAAACAAAGCAACCAACAAAAAACAAAAACAACAAAATAAATAAGTAAATTGTTACAGAAGCAAAGTTAGTAGCAATGGCTGTAGGCTTACTCTGGTGAAGGGAAAAGTGAAGATTGTTAGAAATAGGTACAGGAACAGCAGATAAAATGTGAGAAAATTAAAAGAGGAATAAGTTAATAAAATTAAAATCATATCACACATATTGGCTCACTTATTCTTCATAAAGAAATGGAATAACTAAGAAAGGCATGAAAAGGGAAGGAGGGAAAATTGGTAAACTTATTTTTTGAAAAAGCAAAACAGAAACAAAAGCATTTGAAAAAACTTCAAGCTACAGAAAGGGCTTTGAGGTGGCCTTTGGGTGTTATTTGGCCTAATACTGCCCAAGCCATGAAACTTTCTAAAATCTCCATGTGAATTTCTGGACTTTCGTTCAGAGACTGACCTTGTCCCAGTTATCTTTGATAAAAGCTGTATGAAGATGTTTACTCTGTAAATAAACTAGGATACCAAATAAAAGGTGATTGTCACAGCACAGCTCCTCTCTAAATAATTAAACCACCCAATTCAGGGATTGGTGATAATAAACGTGTTTAAAAAATAGGTATACTGTACATTCTCTAATTCACCTCTAAGCTGCTTGAGGATAAATATTCTTGTTACTTGTATCTAACTAGCATGATGCCTAGCTCAATGGCCATTTACATAGGATGTGGTTATTATACATATATATAATGTATCATATATATATATCTTTTTTTTTTGAGATAGTCTCATTCTGTTGCCCATGCTGGAAGACAGTGGTGCCATCTTGGCTCACTGCAACCTCTGCCTCCTGGGTTCAAGTGATTCTCATGCTTCAGTCTCCCCAGTAGCTGGGACTACAGGGACACACCACCACAGCTGGCTAATTTTTTTGTATTTTTTTGTAGAGTTGGGGTTTCACCATGTTGGCCAGGCTGGTCTCAAACTCCTGACCTGAAGCGATTCACCCACCTCGGCCTCCGAAGTGCTGGGATGACGGGCATGAGCCACTGTGACTGGTGGCATGCTTATTTTAACAATTAAAACATTATGAAATGATTTCATATAAAAATGAAAAATAACCCTCCTCCCTTAAAGGCAAACACAATGAACATTTTGGTATATTTATATTCTTCCAAATGTTTATACATATATTTACACATTGTTGTTTTGATGGGATCGTATTATATATATTGTTTTGCACCTGCTTTGGCACTTAGCATTTTTTCTTCAACAATTTTCTATACTAGTAGATGTCATTTTACTTTTTTTCATTCCTAATAATGCAGGGCTTGATGTTTGAATTTTTTTTCACTCCTAATAATGCAGGGCTTGATATTTGAATTTATTAATTTTATTTTGTTGGATATTTGGGACTTTATAATCAATGTTTGCCATTACAAACTATGCCTCAGAAATCCATGCCTTTGTTGCTCTTGCAAGTACTTCTTTAAGCATCTATTTCTGAGGCTGGGCACAGTGGCTCACACCTGTAATCCTAGCACTTTGGGAGGCCAAGACGCATTGATTGCTTGAGCCCAGGTGTTCAAGTCCAGCCTGGGCAACATGGTGAAACCCTGTCTTTACTTTTCAAAAGAAGACATACATGCGGCCAAGAAACATATGAAAAAAAAGGCTCAATATCACTGATTATTAGAGAAATGCAAATCAAAACCACAATGAGATATCATCTCCCACACTGGTCAGAATGACTATTATTAAAAAGTCAAAAGAAAAATAGATGTTGGCTGGGTTGTGGAGAGAAGGGAACACTTATACACTGTTGGTGGGAGTGTATTTAGTTCAACCATTGTAAAAAGCAGTATGGCGATTCCTCAAAGAGCTCAAAGCAGAACTACCAGTTGACCCAGCAATCCCATTATTGTGTATATATCCAGAGGAATAAAAATCATTCTACCATAAAGACACATGAATGTGAATGTTCATTGAAGCACTATTCACAATAGCAAAGACAGAATCAACCTAAATGCCCATTAATGACAGATTGGATAAAGAAAATGTGATACATATATACCATGGAATACTGTGCATCCATAAAAAAGAATGAGATCATGTCTTTTGTGGGAACATGGACGGAGCTGGAGGCTGTCATCCTCAGCAAACTAACTCAGGAACAGAATATCAAATACCACATTTTCTCACTTATAAGTGGGAGCCAAATGATGAGAACTTATGAACACAAAGAAGGAAACAGACACTGGGGTCTACTTGAGGGTGGAGGGTAGGAGGAAAGAGAAGAGCAAAAAGGGTAACTATTGGTTACTGGGCTTAATTCCTGGGTGATGAAATAATCTGTACAGCAAACCCCCATGACATAAGTTTACCTATGTAACGAACCTTCACATGCACCCCTAAACCTAAAATAAAAGTTAGAAAAAGAGAGAAAGAGGCCGGGCGTGGTGGCTCACACCTGTAATCTCAGCACTTTGGGAGGCCAAGGCAGGTGGATCACGAAGTGAGGAGATTGAGACCATCCTGGCTAACGTGGTGAAACACCATCTCTACTAAAAAATACAAAAAAATAGCCGGGCTTGGTGACAGGCACCCATAGTCCCAGCTACTCCGGAGCCTGAGGCAGGAGAATGGTGTGACCCCGGGAGGCAGAGCTCGCAGTGAGCCGAGATCGCACCACTGCACTCCAGCCTGGATGATGGAGCCAGACTCTGTCTCAAAAAAAAAAAAGAGAGAGAAAGAAACCTCATCTTACAAAAAATAAAAAACTAGCTGGGCATGGTGGCACATGCCTATAGTCTCAGCTACTCAGGAGACTGAAGTGGGAAGATCACCTGAGCCTGGGGAGGTGGAGGCTGCAGTGAGCCATGATCACACCACTGCACTCCAGCCTGGATGACAGAGCGAGACCTTGTCTCAAAAAAGAAAAAATTAATTTCTATTGAGTGTCATCTTTAGAACTCATTTTTCTTGAACCCTAGTATACTCTTTTTCCTGCTATACCTCTGCTTTTCAGGGTATCCTGAACATCTCTTAGTGGATGATTAATTTAAAACCTTTAAAAGCATTCTTTACTTGTGACATGTGCAATTGGCATTCATGTCTTAGAAGGTGATGGTTTGCTTTGAGTTCATGTCTTGTGCTTACTGACAGAAACCAGCCAAAACCATCTGTTATCTCTACCTGGCAACCTACAGGAGACATGGAAAGAGAAGAAGAACCAGATCTTTTTGTGGACAGCTCTTTTGCAAAGCCATCGGGCCTGAATATTCAATCTGACATGATGAGGACCTAGATTCACAAATTCTAAAGTTTTAAATATTTAAAAGAAATATTTTCTCAGAAACATAACTATGTTTCTTCAACTTGTGTCCTGGTGGAAGTTTTTTAAGGAGCAAGGAAAGAGTAATGAAGAGAGAGAAGCATGATTTATTATTAAGTGCTGTTGTGTAAATGCATACTTCTAAAATATTGAAAATAATCTTGTTAATCTTATGGTTATACCACTTACAGTCTGCAATTTATGATTACACCATGAATTTGCTCTAAGAGGAAGAAGTTTACAGAGTAAAAGTAAACTTCAATGAACCACTTTATAAGGTTTGTCAAAATAAGTGAGATTTTGTTTTACAAATCAGAAAAATACAAGTTTCACTTTACCCAGAATTGTGGATTGTCTTTTTAGGTGAATGCTTGTAATGAAGTTTATGAATTAAAGAAGAAAGTCATGGAAAGTCTGGAGGTAAGATTTCAGTTGCACAATTCAAACAATGATAAAATCAGATAATTTATATCTAAATACAGGGGTCATTATTTGCCTAGAATGTGATAGTGCACCACATACTAGTCTCTTTCTTTTTAAATTTATTTTATTTTATTTATTATTATTATTATTATTATTATTTTACTTTAAGTTCTGGGATACATATGCAGAACATGCAGATTTGTTACACAGGTATACATGTGCCATGGTGGTTTGCTGCATCATCAACCCGTCATCTACATTAGGTATTTCTCCTAATGCTATCCCTCCCCTTGCCCTGCACCCCTCGACAGGCCCCGGTGTATGGTATTCCCCTCCCTGTGCCCATGTATTCTCATTGTTCAACTCCCACTTATGAGTGAGAGCATGTGGTGTTTGGTTTTCTGTTCCTGTGTTAGTTTGCTGAGAATGATGGTTTCCAGTCTCAAGGCCTTCTTCCTCCCCTTTGGCCTTCTGTTTGAGCCAACAGAACATTCACAATTCCAGTGTACTCCCAAGCTTTCACACCCCTGTGCTACTCCTACTTCTCATCCTGCCGTCTGGTGCTTGCCCTTTGTGTCTACATATTACCCGTTCTTCAAGGCTCAACTCACAGGTCATCTGTTCATCAAGACCTCTCCTAATTTCCATTACCTCAAAAAATAACTCCATCTTTGAACTCCTCCCACAAGATCTTACACATTGAGGTAAATGTGATTGGGCAAATGAGATAATGCAAGAATGAATGTATCAACCTGTCAGCTACTCTGAGACCGACTCATCCCACCTACCTCGAGTAGATGTCCCCATCACCAAACCTCAGACACTCTCTGTTCCCACACCCTATTTGTTTTCTCTTTAGCATGTATCCTAACATGTAATATAGAATGTATGTATGTGTTTAGCTGTTTATCACTTGCCCCCAGCCCCGGTAATAGATTGCATTCTTTGTCTATTTTGTTAACACTGTATCCGAGAACCTGTTAGCAGTAGTCACCCAATAAATATGCTTTGCATAGATGAATGAATTGAGTAGAGGAATTCAGTACAAGGACGTCTTCCTACATTGATAATCTAGTGGTTAAAGATTAGCAGGTGGGTTTCATTTAGTTTTCTACCATGGTGCTACTTTACACTGTGAATGTGTAAGTCTCCTTCTATTCAAGATGCACCTGCCAATGATCTGTTCATGGGACCTACGTGTGATTTCTAATGTGGGCCCCCAAGGTGATCCAGAGGAAAGCACTCTGCATTATCTATAGTAAGACTTGGAGACATTTAGAATTTTCTTTAAGGTACTTGATTGGTCTTTTTTTCCAGGACCTTTGCAAGAACGTGGAACTGCTGAGTGCAAAGCTGAGGATGTATCAAATGGAGGGAGAGAACACCGACTCTCACAGTTCTGAAGAAACAGATATGGAAGAGATGGAGACCCTGCTTCCTCAGGCCCCAGCATCCTTTTTAGTGCAGAACTCTCCTCCTCCCAATACAGTGTGGTAAGTCAGAGCAAGGGGCCATTCAGGGCTGGATGACGGCCTCAAAATGTATGGATTATGCTAGGATTGATTTTGTTCAAGTGTTGACAAAATGTTTTGTTTTATTTTCTTTTTGTAAATTATCTATGTTATTTAAAAGTCATAGGATTTTTCTTATTTAGATAAAGATCTATTGGATTTGATATATAGATTGCTTTCTTATTGCTTTAGATAAATCTAAAGATTTAGCTTTAGATAAATATATCTAAATATAGATAGATAGATCTTCATAATCAAAGCTATATGACCAAAGACCTCTTGTGGGTGGCTATTAATGTTAATTACGTTTTTAGTTAGTCTTGTTCCTTTTTGCCTGAAAACTCTTTCAAACAACATTAAGTCAATACTTTAATTTTAAATTTTCTTCCATGATGGCTGCAAATACAGAGAAGCTTCTCTATATATCTCTATAGAGATATAGAGACTTATCTATGTATAGAGAGATATAGATTTATTTCTATCTACATATCTATAGATAGATCTATAAAATCTATCTATATCTATCTAAAATCTTAAAAGATGGTATCTATACCCGATGAGGCAACCGCCTCCACCAAAAGAACATAACTGATAAGAAATTTGAAAAGTTTTGTTTGCTGGGCAGGATGTCTTACCCTTGGACAGTATTGGAAACACACTACCAGCAAATTCTGGCTCTTTGGATCCTGTTCAGGAGATGCCACACCATCATTTATACCCTGAGAAGTAATTTCCTCTAAGGAAACATTTTTGATTCTTTATCTCCAACCACCAACCCAGGTAGAATCTCAGCTCTGTCTTCTATCAAGTCCTTTGCCCATTTTAAAGAATTGGGTTATTCTTTTTTTTGCTGTTGAGTTGTAAAAGTTTATGTGCACACCTTGCACATAATCCTGTCAGAGAGCCCATGGCATGTTATTGAAATTAAATTGTTTCACATCTGTCTTCTCCTAATACTCCAAGGGATACACAAAAGCACGAATCTTGTCTTCGTAGTTTGGGGACTTGATGTATAAAAGATGCTCATAATGCTCAGAGAGATGCATGCAGGCCACCTCATGTTGACCATCATAGGAGAGAGCCTGTGCTGCCTCTTTGAATTTGCAGGATATGCTGTGCTCAGGTTAAACCATGTAGGACATTGAGGGACCCAGTTTGACATGCATATTGCTCACCTGCAAGATAAATTTCCAGCTTATCTAACAGTTTCACCTCCTGTTGGAAATCTTCAGGCCTTTTATAAGGAATCTAAGAGGTTTGCTACTGAGGAGGAATTTAAGAAATGAGCATATCAGTGTGACATTCTGTTCCAGAGTAAAAACCCAGATATTATAAAAACTTGAAAGTTTATCTGTGATATCTCCTGCCAATAGTTTAGTAAAATCTATGATGCTCTGGACATCTCTTTAATAGATAAAGAGTAATCCTTCTATCAAGATAGGATGAATGATGTAAAGGAATTTGATGATAGATGATTTGTCCAAGTGGATGATGGCAGAAAGTTTGTGTTGGTCCCAGGATGTACCATTAACCATGGTAAAATCAGATGGAGGCTGGGTGTGGTGGCTCATGCCTATAATCCAAGCACTTTGGCAGACTGAGGCAGGTGGATCACTTGAGCCCCAGGAGTTTGAGACCAGCCTGGGCAGCATGGTGAAAACTTGTATCTACAAAAAAAAAAAAAAATCAGTGACGTGTGCCTGTACTTTTACCTACTGGGGCAGCTGAGGTGGGACTATCACCTGAGCCCAGGAAAGTCGAGGCTGTGGTGAGCCTCGAGATCGTGCCACTGCACTCCAGCTTGGGTGAGACCTGGTCTCAAAAAAAAAAAAAAAAAAAAATTCAGATGGCGGTTATAACTATGATGCATCTGATCTGGCTGCTCTTAAGAAAAACTGTTTGAGGAAAAAGCAGATATGGCAGATATGGTTATCTCTGGGTGAACAGTGGACAATCTCTGCACTTCCAAAAAATATTTGCTGCTGCTCAAAAGATTGGTTGGTATGACCCTAAAGTAACTCAAGTCTCCTATGCTGGATCTGATGTGTTGCTAGGGGAAGACTAGAAGTTTGATATAGTTCAGATGAAAGAGTTCATCTCATAGACCTGGAATAAGAACTAAAGTGATCCATGAACAAATTGAAAGAAAAAGTAAGAGACAAGGTCTTAACTGCAGAGGAATTGAAGGCTGCTTAGACATCTGTTGCTTATGGCTATATCAAGTAAACTGAACTTTCCCATAACCAGTTGAGTGACAATATCTTCTCATTTGACAAAATGCTAGATGATAGAGGAAATACAGCTGCTTACTTTTTGCATGTTCACTAGAATCTGGCCACTATCGATGAACAGATGCTCTAAAAAGCTGCTTGACAGACCAAGATTATTTTGCACCATGAGAAGGAATGGAAACTAGGCCGGTGCATTTTATGGCTCCCTGAGATACTACAAAAAATTTTAGATGACTTACTTCTGCACACTCTTGTGGTTCTATATATGAGCAGTCAACTACTTTCACAGAGTTCTATGATAGCTGTTATTGTGTGGAGAAAGATTGACAAGACTGGAGAGGTATTTAAGGTGAACATGTGGTGTATGCTGCTGTGTGAAGCAGTAGATGCTGTCATGGCCAAGGGGTTCAATATCCCAGGACTAAAACCTGTCCAAAGGCTATAATCCTGCTTAGGTTGGAACAGTGTATGTTTTTACCACAGTGGTCACTAGCATCGTTTGCTTTTTTTTTATATAACCATGATATGAACACAAGAACGTTTGCCAACTGTGAAAAAAAAAATAACTCTTACAACTCAACAACAAAAAGATAAACAACCCAGTTTGAAAAACAGGCAAATGACTTGGATACACATTTCTTCAAAGAAGACACACAAATGGTCAACAAGCACATGAAAAGATGTTCAGCATCACTGGTCATTAAAAAAACGTAAATCAAAACCACAATGAACCACAGTGGGATACCACTTAACATCCAGTAAGATGACTACAGTAAAAAAGACAGACAATAACTAGCATTGGAGAAGATGTGGAGAAATTGGAACCCTCGTATATCACTGGTGTGATTGTGAAATGGTGCAACCACTTTTGAAAACAATTTGGCAGTTTCTAAAACAGTTAAATACAGAATTACCATATGATTCCACAATTCTACTCTTGGGTGTATACTCAAAAGAATTGAAGATGTATGTCCACACAAAAACCTGTACACAAATGTTCATGGCAGCATTATTCATAATAGCCAAAAAGTAGAAACAATCCAAATGTCCGTTAATTGATGAATGGAAAAACAAAATATGGTGTAGCCACACAACGAAGTATTATTCAGCTGCAAAAAAGAATGATGTACTGATACATACCACAACATGATCTTAGAAAACATAATGCTCAGTGAAAGACAGCCAGACACAGAGGGATATCCAAATGATTCCATTTATATGCATGTTCAAAGTAGGAAAATCCATATAGATTCAAAGTAGATTCATGGTTGCCAGGCACAGAGTGTTGGGGAATAGGGAGGTGGTGACTGCTCCAGGGAATGGGGTTTCTTTTTGAGGTGACAAAAATTTCCTGGCATTAGATAGTGGTGATGGCTACACAGCCTTGTGAATAAACCAAAAGCCTCTGGATTGTACAATGTATAGGGTGAATTTTATAGTATGTGACTAATAACTCAAAACCAACCAACCAGACAAATAAGTAAATAGGTGAATGCCTTTCACTTACTGCTTTATTGTGTTATATGGGAGGATTATAATCAGGTTGAATTGCTCATCTTTTTCTCACATGATTACATTCTAGTTAAGATTGCCTGAAATTTTGCCCAATCTCTTGTTAGAGAACTGGAAACATGTTGGTTTAACTACAGCATATTTCTACACTAACATTTTGAGGAATTTTGCCTTATGGATTAATTCAATCATTATGAATCGATTTTTGCTGGTTTTAGCTTCACAAGGTGGCCTTATATTGATAATGTCCCCAGTCCTTCAGTTTCCTTTATGGTCATCCCCTATGTACTGACCATAAATAATGTGGAAATATTGGAAAAGATCAAAGGTTTTACACATAGCAAGGTTTGAAAATTAAATAAATAGTATTCAAAAGTTAAAGGAATATTTTTTTCTTTACCAAAGATGTCTAAAATAAATAAAATTATTAGTGACACATTTTTTTGGTTCTGTACAGGTGATATGAAAAACCTTATTTTAATTTAGTTACCTGTGATTTTTTTCCAAAGAAAAATGTCTGGACCTTTTAAAATGAATATCATGCTTAGTAATACAAAATTTAAATTTTTAAAAATTATATTGATTTGTAAATAAAAATCAAATGATTCATTACTGCCCAGAAATAAATACAAATTTAACTATACCAAGAGTATTTACTGTAGGACAGAAAAAACTAGATGAGTAGACTCTAAACATAAGGAAAAAATTAAACTAAAAACTAAGACAAAATAAAATGAATGAAAGAATAAATGGAAGAAAGGAAAAAAGATTAAAAAATGTATCTGGTTATATCTGGGTGATGAGATTATAGTTTCTTCATTTCTCTGTTTTCCAAATTATGTTTGCTTTAGAAAATTTGTTTTACTTTCCAAAAACCTAATGTCAAAATGTATTTCTTTGAAAATGCCATAGTTTAGTATTTCCAAAGATGACTGTTTTTTTAATTTAGGAAGAACAGTGTTTATTTACTAGGTATGTCTTTGTAGTGAGTTGTTTTTCTTTTCATAAGAAAGAACAAATTGCCTTTGGTGCTCCTTGAAGGCAGGACACATCTGCTTCCTGTTACCAGCTCTCTAAGCCCTTCCTAACAGAGTATCTTAAGAATATTGGCTCTTTAATAAATGTGTGAAGCGAAAGCAATTATGTGTGTAACTGCCAAGTGATAGCCAGTGGGTATAATAGCAAGAAACTTGGCTCTGGTTTATAAAACCACTGAGTTAGGTCACAAAATCGATCCATAGCTAGCTTTATGCTGTAGATTTTCTCTTCTGATGTATTATAGATGGTAATTATCTCAGGTCATTGAATTATCTATGCCATTTCTTCTTTGTGTTCTTCTAGATTTTCTACCCTAATATATTACATTTATAACTACAAAATAATAATGGAAGGACTTAGAATCATATAAATAAAATATGTCGTAGGTGTAACCCAGAAGGAGGGGTCCTCAAAGATTTTAAAAAGCTTCTATTACTTTACAAATAAAAGTCTGGTGCCAGGACAAAAAGAGCTCTGAATTCCCTTTATCACATTATACTTTGTGTCCTGTGGATAATCTAACTGCCTGTGCCTTTATCTGCTCAAAAAGAGACATCATATACCTCATGAGCGAGGTAAAGATTGCAATAACCTGCTAGGATGTGAGAAGGACATTTCAAATGAAAGAACCCCACGATATCCAGGGGTTTTATTGTTTCATGGCTATAGGATCTTGAAATTCCAATGCCAGACCTAGCATGGACATAAATAAGTGCTCCTCCATTCCAAGTTGCTGCTTTTACAAATGTAAACCGAAGTCATGGGAAAATTACTTAGTTGAAGTTTTAGAGCTACCTGGGTGGAGATGCCAGGAGCCTATCAATGTGATTATTTTCAGAATTTGGTTAACACAGATGTTTTCTCTCTTTGTAGGAAATGTGCACTGAGGATTTTCATCATGTTTTATGTCCTCACCGTCACTGGACTTTTATGTTACATACTATTTTTTGGTGCTACATTTCTCTTTGAAAGGGTGCTTCTGAGAATGCTTGGGTGCCGCACCACATGGGACCTACGGGAGATGATAGAGCCTTTCTTGAATTCGGAAGTGGAAGCCTTGCTACCCTCCTAAAGATACAGAAGATACTGTCACCCTACTGGCTTTCTCCCCAGTAAAGATTGTTGCTGTTCCTGTATTGTGGTGGCTAACTTATTTTTCAAAAAATACTGTACAAGGTTTTTGTAAAGAACATTGTAATTACACAGAAGTTGATTGATCCTGGAAAAAAAATGAAAACAGCTTATCTTTACTCTTATGAGTCACAATGCCTTCTTGAATCATTCCACAGTTTGTTGAAAACATTTTCTTCAAACTACTAGCCTTCCTTCTCCCCGAACATGGGGTACATTGAGATGCCAAAGTATCTCCCGTGGTTATCTTCTCCATTTTGACCTCTGATGTCTCAAAAAAGAAAGCATAAAATTCTTTCCCCTCCACTGTAGCCGATTTTGCTTCAATTGATTTGGAGCCCTATTTTGGAGATAGTTGGCATTTCTTGGATTTTCTCCTTAACATTTATTTCTACTTTTGATAATAGCACCCGAAGTTTGCTTTGAAAGAACTATCCCCAGCGGGCCTAATTATAGGTGGTCTTTCAGTCAGTGTCCCCTATCTTCTTATTAATAAGAACTGGAAATATGTTGCATCAGACACTCTCTATAAGTGAGAATTTTAAGAAGAATCACACAAAAGAAGGAAATGATTGGAACTTCGATTTTGTAAACCACTCCATATCTTTTTCTACTTAAATTAGCCAGACTGGTTCTGCTGCTTACAATCAAAGAAAGTCTAACTGATACAGTAGAGAATTTTGAATGTCAGACTAGAGTGTTTTATCCCTAACTTTGTAGGTAATGGGAAAATGCTTATTTTTAATATAAAAAATAGTTATAATTAAAATGTGCAAAAGTAATATTAAATAGAACCATAAAGAATAAATTAGAGTAGGAGGGCAGATGGAGTGCAAGAGTGGTTAAAAAGCCATTCAGTGGTACAGGTGGGCCAAAGAGGTGGAGATGGAAATGCAAAGACCGTGAATGAAGCAGACATTATGAGGTTGAATTTTATGGTATTTGGTTGTGTAATGGATGAGGAGAGGAGTTGGAAGGCTGGTGGCCAAGAGATATGGAATACGGTCCCAGTTCTCCTCATATTTGACTGGATCTTGAGGATGAATAATATTTTCATGGCAGAGATGACAAAAAGGCATTTCAGAGAAAAGAAAAACCATGAGTAAAATTTAGAAGCTGGGAATATAAGACAGAGTTAGGAAAGCTGGTACAGCATAGAGCTCACCATACCAGTTTGTACAGTCTTTAGAAACAAACACTATGCCTCATTCATGTTTCTGGTCTCTGGAATAGTGATTCACAAATGCTGGCCCATTGATTGGATGCACCAGAATCTCTTGGGGAGCTTTCTACATTAGAGACTTCCCCCATTCCCAGATATTTGGATTCAGTAGAGCTAACGCAGGATCCAGGAACTTTATTTATTTATTTGAGACAGAGTTTCACTCTTGTTACCCAGGCTGGAGTGCAGTGGCGTGATCTCAGCTCATTGCAACCTCCGCCTCCCAGGTTCAAGTGATTTTCCTGCCTCAGCCTCCAGAGTAGCTGGGATTACAGGCGCACACCACCATGCCCAGCTAATTTTGTATTTTTAGGGGAAACAGGGTTTCACCATGTTGGCCAGACTGGTCTCGAACTCCTGACCTCAGGTGATCTGCCCTCCTCGGCCTCCCAAAGTGCTGGGATTACAGGCGTGAGCCACCACGCCCAGCCCAGGAACTTTATTTTTAAAAATAAAAATTCAAATTGGGTAACCAATGCCTTGATATACTGTAGGAAAATGCAGGGCACATAGTTTGTATGGACTTGATAAATACCCGTTGAAGTAAATTAAACTATGTGGTTCTTATCTTTGCAGCCTCCCTATCACCTCGCCTCAGTGCTATATTCAGTATTTATCTGTTCAGTAATTTCAATCACAGCCATTTTTCCAATGCCCCTATATTCCCACACCCTTGAAATAATTTTCAACCCCTTTACTATCTTATTTTGATGTTCCAGCAATCACTGGGCCATGCCAATTTCTTCTACAGAGATTTTTCTTAGATCAGCCCTGTTATTTGCATTTATATTGTTACCATTTTTAATAGGTCTTGCCATAGAGATGGATCACTGTTGGCTTAATCCAGCCTGTTGTTTCTACTTCCATGGATTGCCATTATGTACACAGCTGCTGAAAAGAATGGACTCCAATCCTCACTTTTATCTTGATACTCTGTAGCCAGAAAACTAGGCATATTGGTTGCCAGAAATATGCAATTTGTTTTCAAGTGGTTCTCAAACTGTGATATTTAACAGAATTCTAAAAAGAGGCATTTAATTATACATTTGTCTCAGCATCACCTCCAGAAGTTCTGATTCTTTAAATCTGGAATGAATCTCTGATATCCTGTATTTTAATAGATTCCCCTAACGATTCTTATGACTCAAAAGTTTAAGAACACCATGCTCTATGGGCAAAAGATACCTGGGATTACAGATTAGCTGAGATCCCATACAAGGTTAATCAAGGTTCTTTGGGAGCAGGGTAAAAGGGTGAGCATGAAAGAAGTTCCAGGACACACAGAAAGGCAAAAAGCCAAAAGCTCTGGGAGCAATGACTAATATATTCGAAAGGTCTCGTGATAGGGACTTTGCTGACAGATCTTAAAAAGTCACAGTTATCTTGTTTACAGTTACAAGGACTATTCAGACAAATTTATAAATAGAACTTGGTGTATGGTTTTTATAATCATCAGGTAAGTTCCCATAACTAGAAACAGTACTGGCTGATTTACCTATAAATCCCAAAAAGAAGTAGTGAGTTTAATAAAGCTCAAAATCTTGTGATAGCCACATAACACTAATGACAAAGTAAGTTAGAGAACTAGATTGTTTTAAAGAATAAATTAATATTTTACTAACTTCCAAGACATATTCAATTAGGATTTTGACTAAGATGGAATACTTTTCCCTGGGGGATGAATATCTTTGAAGTGGGAATGGTAATGTTTTCACATCAATTTGTTTTCAATTCGTCAGCATCTCAAGCTGGAAAGCTGGAAGTCACAGTACTCTATTGAGAGAGAGAAACATTTAGTAAAGTACTGAAATATTAAGAGGGTATGAATGTCTATATGTGGTAATTCAGTTAACTGCTTTTGGTTGGTCAGGCCGGGTTTTATTTCAGATATTTTAATGCCATATTCAATTGAGCCAACTGCTGTACTCTAAACCATTTGCTAAAAATGTCTGAATCACTGCATAAATATGGTTTTGGTTTTGGACTAAGAGGAGAGAACACGAGTTTCACAAAATCTCCATTTTTCATGTTTTTAGGTGAAGACAGCTATGCTGTAGTGAAAGGAGCTTTTAACTTGGATTTAAAGTTGGGTTCAAGACATGATCCACTGTCAAATGTGTTTGGATGGGATCAGCTAATCTCTCTCCCTGGAAGGGGATCCAAGCAACCATTCCCCATCTGCTGAGAGTTCATAGCTAAGACCCTACCTTGGACTTGGCCTTAGTCAAAGACAGTTGTCTCACCTAAGGTTCCTCTCCTTCCCTAAGGGTAGTCTGCATCCAATGCCTAACCCAGGGTACCTTTTTAGAGGGCCATCCTAGCCACAGAGCTCCTGGTGGGGTCAGCTGAGGCCTCTAGTGCAATCGTATCACATTTCATCTCCATCTGCCCAATTGTGCTTCTACCGTCCCCTCCACAGGTGTCCACCCTGTGAGTGTCCCCCAGTAAACCTATATGCAAGTCTTTGTCTCAGAGTCCTTTTCCCAGGGAACATTACCTGAGACACTTGTGGAAATAAAGACCAGTCAAATAAGAAGAAGCAGAGGCTGTTTATTCAGAGCTTGCAATAGCAAAGGAGTCCATCAGTTGCATTTTGGCGGAGACTCAAAGGTAGGCAGAGGAGTGGTAAAGCTTTAGAGTGGAAAAAAGGGAAAGTTGGATATGCCCTAATTGGGACATCCCAGGTGATTGACTACAGGGTGCATATTTGACTTACTCTAGTTGATCCTATGTTGGAAGCAGGGACAAAAATTAGGGGAGCTGCCAGTTATTCCTCACGATTTTGTTTACACCTATGTAAATTGAGAAAAATAATACCTGCCTCATGAGATTGCTGGATTAAAGAACTTGATGTTTAATAGGTTTTGAGTATTATTCTTATTATTACCATGAATAATATTTTTAAACATGTGAGATTGCCTTAATTAAGAACTTTGAGTTTGACCTAACAGTGAAGAAATGAATTTGAATACACTTTCTGATATATCTCAAAGTAAAAATAAGTGAACCACAAACCATAAAGTCTTGCTTGACTCCTTCCTTTTTCATATTCCACTCTCAGTCTGTCAGGAAATCTTGTTACTTAAAACACATGCAGAATTCAACTGCTTCTCACCACCTCCCTGATACCAACTGCCTTTGCATGCCACCATTGTTGCAAAAACCAACCAACTTTCTCTTCATTCTCCTGATTCCACCCTTGCCCACATATAATTCAGCAGTCAGGGTGACACTGTTTTATAATGCAGGTCAAATCATGTGACCTTTCTGCTCCAAACCCCTTCAGTGGTTTTCCACTTCTGTCAAAGTAAATGCCAAAGTCCTTTCAACTACCTGTATTTGGCCACTGCCTTCTGTTAGCTCTGTAACCTCATCCTATTCTATGTGTCCTCTCATTCACACTTCTCAAGTTCCACTGTTCATCTTGCTGTTCCTGGAACACATCAGGCACACTCTGGCCTCCAGGGCTTTGCCCGGGCCAGCCCCTCTGCCTGGAAGTCTCTTTTCCATGGCTTACCCCCACAAGTGCCTTCAAATCTTGGCTCAAAGGTTATCTTCTTGGCTCTAATAAAAAAGACAAATAATAGTAAGTGTTGGTGAGGATGTGTAGAAATTAGAATCCTATTATATTGCTGGTGGGAATGTAAATAATAGAGCCACTTTGGAAAACACTTACTCAAAAAATTAAATACAGAGTTACCATATACCTTCAGCAATTCCACGCCTAGGTGTATATCCAAAAGAATTGAAAATATATATCCACATAAAAACTTGTATGTGAATGTTCATAGAGCAGCATTCATAATAGTTAAAAAGTACAAACAATTCAAATATCCGTCAACTGATGAATAGATAAACAAAATATGGTGAACTGATACAATAGAGTTATTATTCAACCACAAA